TCAAAACGGCTCTTGCGCAAGCCACTCTTCTCGCCCATCCCGATCCATCAGCCACGCTTAGTATAGCGGTTGATGCATCCGATGTTGCTATAGGAGCAGTCATGCAACAAAACATCTCCGGTAGTTGGCAACCTCTCGAGTTTTTCTCACGACGCCTCACTACCACGGAGACGAGATATAGCGCTTTTGGTCGCGAGCTGCTAGCAGCCTACTGCGCCATCAAACATTTTCGGCACGCAGTAGAAGGACGTCGATTCATTTTATTCACCGACCATAAGCCCTTAACGTATGCTTTGCATACCAAGTCTGACCGCTACTCACCACGAGAGTGCAGACATTTGGACTATATCTCCCAGTTCACGACAGACCTTCGTCACATCCAAGGCAAGTCGAACTGTGTTGCCGATGCTCTATCACGAATCCAAATGAATGCAGTTACCCTGCCGGTGCTCGATCTTCCTGCTATGGCCGCTGCCCAAGCAAACGATCCCAGCTGTACAAAGCACCACACTCTACGTCTCTTCAGTATCAGGAAGTACCTCTAGCCACGACTTCTGGCACCATTCTATGTGATACGTCTACTGGTCTTCCTCGACCCATCGTACCCTCTGCTTATCGCCGTCTCGTTTTCGATGCCCTGCATGGATTATCTCACCCAGGTATCGCAGCTACATTACGCCTCATCGCTGCACGATACGTCTGGCCGTCCATGAATAAAGATGTTCGTATGTGGGCTAAGCAATGCTTACAATGTCAACGATCAAAAGTGCACAGGCACGTAGCCGCCCCCCTCGGTACATTCGCTACGCCTGATGCTCGCTTCGATCACGTTCACTTAGACATTGTAGGACCACTGCCACCATCGCACGGGTATGATCACATACTCACGTGCATCGACCGCTTCACCAGATGGCCCGAAGCTATACCCATCACGTCTATCACGGCGGAGACAGTTGCTCACCGCTTCGTAGAACGATGGATAGCTCTATATGGTTGTCCCTCGACTGTCACGACTGACCGAGGACAACAATTTGAGTCCGCACTATTCTCCTCACTTACTCGGCTGCTTGGTACGGAACGAATACGCACTACCGCCTACCATCCAGCTTCAAACGGTTTAGTTGAAAGGTTTCATCGGCAACTTAAAAGTGCTCTTCGAGCACACGAAAACGACGACTGGTACGAAACCTTACCGCTCGTTCTTTTAGGTATCAGAACGAGCTTAAAGGCAGATATCCAATGTTCCGCCGCTGAACTTGTATACGGCACGACATTGCGTCTGCCCGGGGAATTCTTCACACCACGGAGCAGACCTAATTTCGCTAAATCAGACTACGTCCAACGACTGTCTGCATTTATGCGAACGCTGTCTCCGGTGTCAACTCGAATACAACATCGACAGGTCGCTCTCCCTCGAGAGTTATCTACCTGTTCACATGTTTTCATACGAGTAGATTCGGTACGCAAACCTTTGCAACAACCTTACGAAGGCCCTTTTCGCGTGATCGCTCGTCACGAAAAGACCTTCAAGGTTGATCGACACGGCCGCGTCGAGATCGTCAGCATTGATCGTCTCAAACCAGCACACGTCGATGACAGTGCCCTATCTGATAACCTGAGATTCAATGCTAGACCTAGCAAACCTACTAGCGGGATCCTCAAACCATCTTCAGGTCCCACGCTAGATGCACCTGACACCTCACTCTCACGTCCCAGTCAACAGCACGCGTCATCTGCACCGTCTACGGACGAGACGACAGTCTCACGTCCAGATCAGCAGACCACGCCGCCCTTGACTTCGGATGAGATTGCAGGCTCACGCGACGCGAACGAGACTACCGTCTCACGTTCCGGTCGCCGAGTACGGTTACCCGTACGCTTCCGCGACTAGCCGCACAGTTAACAAACGATACGGTGTAGGATTATTCCTATACTACACGCATGCTACACTCTTCTCTTTTTTGATTTTCTTTTTGTTTCCTGAGCCCACGCCTTCGACCATCTCCGTTTGGTTCCGTCGACTTCAGTCAACTTTGGCGAAAGCTGGCCTGATCACCCATGCTCTTGTCAACGCACGCAGTCGATATATTGGTTTCGAATGCTTGGCATACGCTTGGCCTCGAACTTGGTCGTTATGGTCGCTTCTGGTTCATCGGCTCAACGTGGTTTCGTCCTACGTCTGCAGCGTTTCTGGTGCGCACCCCTACGAACGCCATCTTCAGATTCTGGATACAAACCACTCTGGTGTAGCATGCCAACTCAAGCAACAAATACAACACATCGCTCCTGGTAGTGTTCTCCGAAAACGACCTACGTTGGCAACTCGACGATCAACGATCGCATTCCTGTTCGCCAATTCTTCCGTCCTACAATCGCTCGTCAGCCGATCAGTCCCACGATTCAAACCGCTATTTATCGAAAGTGTAAACCCTTTCTAGCGGGGGGCTCCTGTAGTGACTCACATTTATCACGAGAACACGACTGGTTTAATAAAAACAATTATTATTATAACCAACTGTACCAGTGCTTGTTTTAATGTGCTTTTGTTTAACTGTGCTAATTATAGCCATTTTGTGCTTCCATTACCTTCCATCATTGTTCCGCGGTTTTTGGTACTGTTCGCACGTACTCCTGTCTTCTGCTTCCACTTGTACCACTTCTTGGCACGATCTCGGTATTCGTTCAATACCACGAGATCGCCAACGAAATAAATCTGGTTACCTTCAACCTCGCCTTCTGATTTGTCTGGCACGTGTTTCTTGGTAGCGGTGTTCACAGTTTTCCACAACTCGACGCCACGCTACACTCCTCTGACCGAAATATTGATGTAGCTCTTCAATAAGCTGATATCAAAAACCAAGACAACTGCCCACTAGAAGAGATATTTTAAAAAAAAATAAAATAACACGTTGATGTACAAAGTATTGCCAGAAAAATAAGTATAATTCAATACTATAGGCGAGTAGAGTAAATCCATTTTGAAGGTGTTTAACTCTACAACGTATATAAGACCTTCCCTATCATATCAATACTCTTCAGAAATACACCTTACTCTTACATCTTTTCAACTTCTCTGCAAATCAAGTTTTCATCATGATTGATGTAGTGTTATCTGGTTTACTAAATATTATATTATGATTAGAAACAATCTGTAATCTTCACCAATCTTCTTCTATTGAACAACATAAATTCTTTCAGTATTTCCCCTAATTTTTAAACAGAATGATTCATCAAAACTATAACCACAACTATCGTAATACTTTTTCATTAATAATTAAATATTCATTTTATATTAAAAATGTACTGTATTCAGATTCAACGGAAATGTTTATTTACCACATTCATAGTCTTTTTAATGACACAATAGTATAGTCCATATTATTATTTTGACAACTGTTTCACAATGTTTTAGAAATTCTGTAGCGTTGCCAACTTCATTGATGTTTGTTGTGGGTACACTACTCGAAAACCGATACCATGCAGATAATATAATATAGTCATGTTGAACAGAAACTTAATTCTTCCGTACGGTCTACATGGTAATCCGAAAATATCTGGGCGATATCTTATACATCTAAACTCAGAATACTACTGCCTTGCAACTTGTTTATCTCAATGGTTAGGTCGACAGTTGCCAGTAAAGTTGAGTGTGTGTGTGTGTAGTTGTCGTCACTTGTGTTAGAAGTCTGTGCAACCTTGGTTATTTCATAGTTGGTGAAATCTTGTTGTTATCGATTTCATTTTCATCAAGTTGATTCATCTTCCCCACAAGTGCTTGTTAAAAACAAAAACAGGTGTGCTGTTCAGTGTTTCGATCTGTACTGCATTACTAGTGTAGGGTGTTTTCTTGGAATATAAACTATGTTTGCATTACAATAATCTGGTCAAAATTATCATGAAATCACTACCCGCGCATGTTGGAACCACTGAAGTAGTCCCGAAGTTAAGCAGATGCCACTGCTGTTTCCACAGCTTTTCTAATATCATTCCACGCTGCCTCGAAGTGAGCATCACTTACATGGCTGCCTAATTGTTTTCACGAAAAGCCAATGTAGTGCACAATGTTATGGGGCTTAAGTTAGTATGAAATAATAATCAGAAGCCCATGTAAACATTTGTTGTGCGAATAAAATATTTAGTGTAACTTGAATCATGAACTGGATTGGGAATAGAACTTGTAAATGAACAAACTATTTTTACGAATGCTTATTGTGAAATTCAAATCACTCTCTGATGTTGAACTTTCAATTTTTTTCTTTATAAGACAAATCTTTTTCGATGTTAACAGATGACTGTTGTCTAAAGTTGATCTCTTTAAGATATTCCGTTTGTATACATGTAGGCATGATTATTTCATATATTTGTCCAATGAAATGGTATATAACATAAACGTTGTAATAAGAGCAAGAAATAAACGTCTAGAAAAACAAAACCCCATTCTATTTGGTAGTAATGAATACATTCAGTGAGATAAAACTCACGGGCGCAGAAAACTTATACAATATACAATAAAACTACATAGCGCGGAGAAAAATAATAAACTACACTATCAGTTAACCAAAAGGAACATAATCATAAATGAATCTTTTCAAAGTTATTGCTTTTATTATCGTATCTAGAAATTCAAACTAACATCAATATTTAGGAAAGTAAAACAATTAACCGCAAAAAAAAATAATGTAGATAACTACAAAACTGACATCAGAACGTTTATTAGTGTAAAAAATGTCAGACTGCAGAGCGTAGATTCGCAAAGGAGTGTGTGTGTGTGTGAGAGAGAGAGAGAGAGAGAGAGAAATAATATAATGGAGTACTTACATACAAATTCATTTTATTGTTTATTGTTTCTAAAAAGAAAGTAACTAAAGAACATCAAACGATAATCTGTTATTTATTAAAAGTAAATCACTCCAGTGTTAACGCATTTTATTCCACGGTAATTTTTAAAATGTTAACATCACAGAAAACAGCAGAGACATATTATCACAGTTACATATACTTCACGATAAATTAATTAGACCATGTTGTACAGAAGGTTTCTGGTTATTACCGTAATATTCATCCATCTCACCTTGTTCCCGAATATTATTTATTTCATACCGACGTTGTTCATCCTCCATATGTGCACAATATGAATAGATGCCATACAACACGCGTAATACAGCACTGCTATCGCCTGCAACAATTTCTTCAAGTTTTGCTGGAGGTTCAACCATACCAGCTGCTTGAATAAGTTCAAAGGCTAGTTTAACATTTGATGTACACAATTCTTCTGTTGTTGGTGTTGGATGATATGCATGAAATGCTACAAAATAGCCATCAATAAGACCCATTAAATAGAATAAGTAAGACACCATCTGTAAACTAATGATCGTAGAATGAATAAAATGGGAACATTTCCTTCAGTTAATTATAAAACTAAAGAAAATAGATTTTACAAAACTGTGTAACTCGAAAACCAACCAGAGAGTCGTACAATACACTAAGTTAAATTTATTAGGTTACAGATACATGTATCATCTGTATAAAAAAACTTTGGTGTGAACCAATAACATCAGTCAATCAGTCGGCTACAACGTAGGACCAGGCACATATATGCATCAATCCAAGTTGCCATACCGCATTAGCACAGCAAGATGAACACCGGATTCATAGGAGTAGTTAAGTCAATAGTGGCAATATATGAAAGATTGCATATAAGGATATAGTACAGGAAGAAAGATTTAGTACATAGAAAGGAAGATATGAAGCGATTTTAATCTCTTAGTTTAAGGGAAGACAGACAGTGTATACACCGACGCCACTGTGATCGATTCTGAGCCATCTCACCAAGAGTCTACAACCATTGGTTACGATAGTCACGTGGACCCTAACTGAGTAGTCTGCATCTACCAACATGGCTCAGACCAGATGTTAGTGTCTTCAAGCACTAATGCCACGTTTTGGTTTGGCCACCCCTAACTTTCTTCCAACCATCCCCAACACCCGTTAGCATTGCACGTCGTGGTAATCGGTGTTCAGGCACACTCAACACGTAGCCCAACCATCTCAGTCGATGAAGACTCACAACCTCATCAACTGATTTACCATACCCTATCTAACCTCACTGTTACTTACCCGGTGATACCAGCAGATGCAAGCAATATTTCTAAGACATCTGTTTACTTATTTATTTATTTAAACATATAAACATTAGTACAAGGAGGCACCAAGTAGATATGCGCCACACAAATCATTCGACTTGTGTGAGGGCTGGGATACTGCCCGGGTGCCCAAACCGAAGCAGGTGGTTTTCTTAGGGGGCCACACCCCAAGCCTTTGACCTAAAGGTCTAACCCACAAGGCAGTGGAGCATCGTGAGGAGATCCAGTCCCATGGTAGCCGGTGGCCAACGATTGGTTCATACGCCATTTGTTCCCTCAGGATACTGGAGCCCATGTGCAACATTGATTTGGTTTGGGGTCCGGTTAAAGCGCCGGACATTCGCTTTTCGTCCTCTCATTTTCGCAAACAACACCCCTGTCACGAGAAGGCAGTGAGTAGGACTTCCCTGGCAGAGGCTGTATACGCGTGGCCATGTGAGAGCATTTCGAGAGGGGAGGCGGGCCCACCCCACTCTCGGCCATACCAGGGCATTTGGGGGCAAGACATCTGTGGTCAAACACTAGTAGCTTACGAGTGTCTTCTACTCTTAATGGCCATGTTTCGTGGCCGTAAAATAGAGCAGAACGAACTGCCGCGCAGTACACTTGTCCTTTTATTGATAGACGGATATCTCGCCTTCACCATAGATGACGTAAGTTAGCAAAAGCAAAACGAGAGAAGCTCATTCTAAACATTCTGGTATAGTTGCTTAGTGCCACCAGAAGACTCTTCATTTTATCAGTGTCTTCACCAAACAGGACTATGTTGCCTGCGTATTCCAAGTCGACAAGTGGACCTCCTGGAAGGAGATCAATACCCGACAATTCAGTCGACGTGAATGTTATTTCCATCAGTAGGTCTGTGATGAAGTTAAACAAAAATGGAGAAAGTGGGCAGCCTTGACGGACGCAAAAGCAGATGACAAGTCGCCATCAGCTCTGACTCGACTAGTGGTGTTCGGGTAAAGAGCCCTCACAAGGTTTACGTACTTCTGAGGTACGCCTTTCAATGACAGGCACTGCCACAGAATGTCGCGGTCTACGGAGTCAACTGCTGCTTTTAAGTCAAGAAAGACCACCATTGTCGGACGCCGATAAGTATGCCTGTGTTCTAGAACCTGACGAATGGTGAATATGTGGTCTATGCATCCATGACCAGGTCTGAAGCCAGACTGATTTTCTCGTGTCTGCAGTTCACGAGTCTTAGTTGGGCGTACAATAATTATCGAGGCTAGTACTTTAGATAATATATTAGTTAAACTAATCCCTCTATGGTTGTCACAGGATGATTTTAACCCTACCTTATATATTGTGACGATAAGTGATTGTGACCAGTCAGATGGAATAACGTCTAACTCCCAGATCTTAGCCAAAATATTAGTCCACCTAATCGCTAAAATTGGTCCACCATCCTTAAACACCTCTAGAGCCAATCCATCTGGACCAACCGCCATTCCTCGTTTCAGATGAGCTATAGCCTTTTGAACTTATGCTAGAGTTGGGGGACCTACTTCAATGTTCCATTCACACTGTCTGGGAATGATGGGTAGTTGTAGAGTAGCTGGAGGCCAACTGAACTGCTTTTAATGTGTTTCGCCGATCTTTCTAAACGTCTGGACTGGGAGCAGATGAGTGTCGTCTTTTTCCGAGATATTCTCACTTACATTTGACTTAGTAATTCCAGTTTCTTTTATTAATCTGTAAAGCTGTCTTGTGTTCCATATAGCCGCCGCCTTTTCCATCTCTTTTGCTTTCGTTGCCCACCACTGCTCACGGTCGTTCCTTAGACTTTTGCTTAACCTAGATCTGATTTGTTTTCGCTCTTCATCGTGTTCAGAACCCGATGGGATGAGTTTACGAGAATCCATCAGTGCAATAGACCTTGAAAGGAATCCATTGGTTCTTTGTAACCCTGTGGCCTAAATCACTAATAGATGTCACTGCTATTTCCACAGCTGCTTGTATATCTTTCCAAACGACATCTGGGTCAGCCTCGTTTTCAGAACTACCTAAGTGTGACCTCAGTTGTTCCTGGAACCTACTTTTGGTTTTCTCGTTACTCAATTCAGTTCTAATGGGTCCTTTTTGTGCGGCTTTTCTGCGTCCAGCGAAACGCAAGCAGACATATGTGAGGTTGAGAGCGAAGATTATCAGAAAGCTGAAATAATGAACTGGTCGTCGTGTCAGTTGACTAAATCTTCAATAAGTAGTGCTAAATAATTGTTCAGTTGTTACATGTCGGTAAATGTATTGTGATGAGTGTTTATAAAACATGATAGTAGGCAGAGCTTCAACGACAAAACATCAGATTGTGAACCAACCTGTTAAAATCTGAAGAGTGGTAGGTTTCTGAGAATACCAGTCAGTCATAAATGTAGAACCTGTACGTATGTGCATCTGTTCAAGTTGTCATACCTCATTAACACAGAGATAAATTTGTCAGGCCAAATCTCATGATAGCACAGGCAGTAACAGTAACAGTGGGAATAGAAAAAACTAAGCGTCGAACAGACGACCTAAAAAGAAAATCTAAATAAGCGCAATATAAACAAAAATATGTTATGAGGAATGTAGAGTTTCATTATGTGGGGGAAGACAAAAAATAGATGCACATGCGCCATTCCAAACAATTTTGAGCCATGTCATTCAAAGTCTGACCATTGGTTACGATAATCACGCGGACCACAACCAGGTAATCTATACTTGCTAACATGGCTAAGTCCAATTGTCAGTAACATCACGTACTGATGCCATGTTTTGGCTCGGTCGCCCCTATCTTTCTTCTAGCTAGCAACTGCTGCACCAGAAAACATCACTCGTCGAGGTAAACGGTGGCTGGGTATACGTAACACATCCCAACCACCTCAGTTGATGAGGACTTACTACCTCACCAGTCGGTTCCCTATCCTCACCTGGCACTCTATTCTTAACCCAGACATTGCTTACTCCGTGGTTGCAAAGCAAAATACACGGACAATGCTTCGTAGACACCTATAACCAAATGCCAGTGACCCACTAATATCCTTTACTCTTAATGGCCACGCCTCACATCCACAAACTATAACGGAGCGAACGGCTGCGCAATAAACCCGCCCTGTAAGATGACTTACCTACGCACCCTATTACTTCTAAACAACCCCTCACTTGTTTTGATAACGGAAAGTTGGCTGTCCTCCGATACCACAGACACATATCTACAAATAGACACCTATGAGCTCTTCCGCTGTGATCGAGTCACCAAGAAGGGTGGTGGTTGTCTCGTTTATGTATCAAAAAATTTGAGAGCGGAAATCTATAGCGACCACGTCCTCAGCAAACTTCCTGAATCGATACGGCTTACTGTGCACACTCATGAGTGTAAAATACTAATCGGATGCATATATCGAGCTCCAAACACTCCTAGTTCAACTGACACTATTATAAGTGAGTCATTTGCTCAGGCTGCCTCGCTTGACTTCACTTACAAAATTGTATGTGGTGATTTCAACCTTCCCACCATCAACTGGAAAACACATTCTGGCCCATTGTGCTTTGAAAGCATACTTAGGTCCTTAGACATACACGGCTGGCAACAACATGTACACCTGCCTACACGAAATCACAACATTCTTGACTTGATATTCTGTCATAATGTCACACCAACATCAATGGTGGTTGGCGAAAAGTTTCACAACAGCGATCATAAAATAGTCCTCTGCACCCTTCCGATTCTTGCCATATGCAACAAATTAAAGACATTAAACACGCGATTCCAATATAGAGACTATGCAAACGCTGACTGCGAAAACTTTCGATTTCTAATAAAGCACTCTGACTGGGGCAGTTTCTTTACCAGTAATAACCTCTTAGAAACATTAGAAATATTCAATATCACCACCAAATCTGCACTAGACACTACTATACCCTCTAAAATTGGTTTTAAAACAATTACTCCCTATGTAAACTAAAAGACTAGGTCTAAACTACGAAAACCGAAAAGGATGTACTATATATCAAAAGACTTCAGTGCCCTGCACCAGATATACTCTGTACTTGACGGAGTACAAAGTCAACACAACAAGCATAAACAGGTAGAGGAACGTACTGCGCTCGCTGCTGCATCTAAAGCCCAAGCCCTATGTCGTCTCCTCACGAAACGCATAAGAAAGAACACAGACCACAACATTCACTCCTTACTGCACGATGGAGTAACGTATAATGACCAAACCGTCATATGTGAACTATTAAGTGAATGGTTTTCTCACAATCGGAATACATCTGATGCTCCAGATATCGACATAAAGTGCACCGGCAAAAACTATCTTAGTACCATAAACTTCGACATTAGGAGTAAACATACCGCCATTAAAACCCTTAAGCCAAATGCGAGTTCTGGTGCCGATGACATCCCTTCAATCGTTTATAAAATGTCAGGACCGGACATACAGACGCTACTACTCAAAATATACACATTATCTTTAGAGACAGGTACATATCCGGAAACCTGGAAGGTAACGTATGTT